TAATATATATATGAAAAAAGACAGCGGAAAAACAAAATTAAAGATTTATGAGCGTATAATTCGACTATGGCTTACGTTACATTGAGAAACCCGTTCTACACTTGATGATTTGATACAAGCTTCAGAGTCCTTTATCAAAGATAAAGAAATGAATTCATTTTAAAATGAATTTGTCAATCTGTTGTGGAGATCATTGAGACACAATACGTGCTTTCTATTCTTAATCATCATGTACTTACTGATTTTATGATATATCCACGGTAAAAATGGTTGTAATCTCGTGTAGTATCCAACATGATTGTTTAGCAAACATCCACCCCAACTGACCAAACCAATTGTTACAAATCGATACTTTCCATGTAGAAATACCTTTCGCACCATACTCCCTCCACTGTCACCATCACACGGGGCGCTGCCTCCTTTGAGATCACTTGCACAAAATACTACTGTCTTGTTGTAATAGAAATTTACTGCTTTTCCACAGACATCGTTTGATTTGATTAGAAACGAAGAGAAGCGAAGAAAGGAAGAAGCATAACCAGCTTCAGTTCTTCCCCATCCAGCGACCATTCCTACTGTTCCTGGTTTGGCGAGGTCTCGGGCAAGATCAGGTAGAAAAAGAGTACGAACAAATGGCCCGAGAATGACTTCACGGCTCAGTTTGACTAATGCAATATCGTTCTCAAATATAGGATAATGTCTGTAGTCGGGATGTAATACTATTTCTTTGAAATTTAACTCTTGTTCTGTTGATTCATAGCTTCTTAATTCGTGATCACCAGCTATAATTTTGTACCTGAGACAAATAACCTGTTTTAGAGCACTTTTCATGAGCTGGCTTCCAACTTCGAAGGAAAAGAGAGGGGAGATGCAGTCTTATGCTTTATTTATGGCATATGGCATGTTTTTTTACCCTACAATCCCTGGTGATTATTGCACTGTCCCCTTGGTGTGTAATAGTGTTCGGTGTTAAAACTCGGAAAGAGATGATCTGCAACTTTGCACAAAATGATAGAGATGTGTTGAGCAAAACCTCATTGCACCCTCTCCTATCTCCAAAAACTGTGTGTGATCTTCTGAACACACCTTCAGCGAAAGTATTACTGGAAAAGGAATTCAAATTCTCTCACCGACTTTAGCAATAATTTACCGATTTTACAAAACATTCCAAACTCTTTTTGTTCAAAATTGTGCAGATTGACTGTACCCGTTGCACACACGTTTACCTGTTTAAATACTTACTTTGTGAGTGGTTTTATATCTTCAGACCATGTACTGTTTGTGGTAATATTTCTTTTAATGTAAAAGCAATGGGCAGCGGTAAGAACCCATTGTTGAGATACCAACGCACCACCACACAAAAATGTCCATCCTGAAGCTGAATTTTGATATAAGTAAAAGCACATTTAAAATATGTATAGATTTCGTCATGGAAAGTACGGGCATAAGAGTTAATCATAAATCTGATGTCGAACGAGTAAGCGTAGCGAACGAGTCGTGAGATTTCAGATTCAAAATAAACTCGTGCGAAAATTCCGTACTTTCCACGATAAAGCGTTTTTTTATTATATACATACTGAGATTCAGGCGTCTACTCTAGAGCGACTTTTGTGCATTTAAATTGCGGTTTTGTTGCGATACAATTCAATACTAAATTGGGTAATCGCTTTCAGCTCGAAGTTTTTAATACYCATAATGGTTTCCCGCTCATATTTTGTGCATTACGTAGTCTGGTGTTTGTGAAATGTACTGGCAAAATTTTTGMATTTTAATTTCTTTTAGATTTCCAAAAATCAGTCCATTAAAATAATAAATATTAAGGTCCTTGGGTCTTTCTTCTACGATCAGATGACCACAAAAATGGCAAAAAAAAAATTTAACCCGACACAACGAGTTGACACAACCCGCTCGAACTGGTACAGAACCAAAGCGTCTCCTATTTCTGCACTCGTCTTCAAACTCGAAACTGTTCTTCAACCGGTTTCAACCGTTTTTATAACACGTTATGCGCAATCCAACACTCTGTATTCATTTAAGAAATTAAACAACCAGCTAGAATGAGTTTAGAATCAAAAAAAATCATAGCACTATGCTGGATCTTCAATCAGTTTCAGCGCCGGGTAAGTCAGCCCGAAATTCCCCCCCTTCCTCCCACGGCCAGAGACTTCTTACCGTCCCGTTTGTTTATACGAACGTGCCAAGGAAACATGCCTCGGTTAGAAATTTTTCCTCTGAACAACAAACTAAGGGATCCGCCAAGTGATCTCTTTCCCCTGTGGTGATCTATAAGAAAGATATGTGAGTTTTTAGAAAAGGTGATTTCTGGAAGCTGAGGGGACTTTCCGAGAGGAAAAACAGCTCTACCCCCCCCCCCCCCCTTACTCATTTGGATCTAAGCGTAAGACAAAAACTTTCTGGAGGAGCTGACAAGCAAATGTGGTACGCCCTTGCTTCTTTCAAATCATTTTGTTCCTGGCAAAGGTTTTCAAGGTACAAAAAAGGCTTATGTAACGTTTTTATGGCCAAAAACGACTTTGATGTTAGTTGTGCTTGTTATGTGTAATAAATCGTTAATATGTTTTTCAGCTTCTATATACATCTTTAATTTATGTGAAAACTACATCATCAATTTATGCGACAAAATTGAAAAAAATCAATAGTTGAAAAAAAATTCATATCTTGGTCAATTTCAATCACACATCAACGAGTCTTTGAATTTAGATTTCCATTAGTCACGCGCGTAGCGTGGACTTTTTATGCATATTTCAGGGACCGCGACATATATTTTGGATTCTGGGAGTCTAACGAACGCCAAAGGCGGGAGTATTAAGGGAGCCTGGTCCTCCCCCGGAAAACTTTGAAAAAAATTTTCAAACTTTGAAAGAAATAACTCTTGGAACTGCGATTTCCAGTATTTTTAGAGATATCGAAAATTATGAAAATTTTGAATGAAACTTAAGGACCCCCCTCTGGTTTTACGGCCCCCCTCCTGGTAATTATTGCACAGTCCCTTATCAACATTTTCAATAGATTCTTTTAACCTCGATTCAATAAAAGACATTGAATACAGAAATATCATAATACCACCTCAAATCACACACATGCAAAACCCACAAGCCTTTGCAAAATTATGCGAGAAACAGTAAATGATATGTTAATGTAACCTCCCGTCTCCCTAGCTTTCCAATGTTTGTTTTTTCAAGAATGAGAAACTAATAGTTTTGCAATGTAATTTCGCAGTGGGCAAAAGGGTTTTTAAAAAAGGTCCTCCATTTCTTTTTCCGACGATTGTAGTTCGAAATGGCACGATATCAGCTACTTACATTGCTGGAAGAAGGCATTTATTAATGCGATGTTTGCAATTCCAATGATCACGATAAAACTGCGTCTCATTGTCTATAACAATAAATTAAATGTATTTATATTCTCAAAAAAATAGCAATTACTTGAAGTGCTCAGATACAATATTATTATTTGATTATATAGGACGTAGGAAAATTTGGGATCAGGAGTGACATTCCAGTCACACGTAACTGCGCAATTACACTGATTGTAGTGGTACTAAATAAGCCATGCAAGAGAAACGGAGAGCTACGTATGGACAACTTTAGATTCATAAGACACGGGTATATTTTCTTTATTGGTCATCAAATATGAAACTCCGTTGCATGTGCGATTCATTGCTGCGAGAAGACAAGAAGGCATCTACACTAATCGTGGGCTCTCTGTGTCGCTCGATTTTACTTTTTGTACTTGGACATTTGGATCCAAGATGGCGGAACATGTGCTGCCCCTTTGCAGCATAATGGAAATACTGCATTTTTTTAGCCCAAAAGTCAGCTTTCAGGATTAAACAACTCTTCAATCGTTTAACGGTAGGTAAACATTTTTACTGAGTCTTATAAATTCCTTCTTTCGAGTGAATGAAGATATCACGTTTTGTCAATTTACTAAGAGAGATATGCGTTAAAATCATAATTTTGCTTTGATTTTCATTCTGATTTTGGAAATATCAATTTAACGATCTCATAGATGAAAAATACAAATTTTTATCTTCATACATAATGT